ATGCAATCACCAAACTATTTTTCAATTTGGTGGACTCTTTCTCTAAAACTCCAATTTCTCCCGTTTATCACAAACCATGAAGAACTTCTAGAAGTTTCCAGAGATTTTATTGTAATAAGTGAAACGAAACTATACTTCGAAATTGTTCGGATGTTGGGGTGCTTATGGCATAGCCATTGTTACGGCACACGAATATAACCGGGGCTTCCATAACCGCTGCAAAATTCAGTCCCGCGTGAAAATCGCCCTGCAGAAAAAAGTCGACATAATAGACAAAACAAATTCATTTTTACCCAAAAAAAATATATATAAAATAATTCTACCTCGCTCGTGCACCCGTCACCCATAAAAGCCACGACACACGCCTCCTTGTTATCCATTTTTAAGGAATAAGCAACCCCTGCAGCTTGAGGAAGCTGTGTTCTGACGACACAAATACTTACAATGATCATATTCACAAAATTACACGAAATTTCGAATGTCAAGTTTTCTTATTGTCTAGAATTTTTTTTTTTTAAAAAAAAAAACTTACGCGATGGGAGATGAAACGGTTAAGTAATTGTGCTGCTTGGAACCATAATGTACCGGCATTTGCCTGCCTTTGTCACTGCCATATTTGGTTCCAAACAATTGGTTTGTAAACTGTTCTAGCGTGAAACCACGCCACAACAGAATTCCTGGCTCACGATACTGATTCACGCATGCAATAAGTTAACTAACAAAAACATAAATAATAAGAAAACAATGTAAATTATTATTAAATTTTTTGGGGGGCCACCTGAGGTAATACAACATCATCGGACGAAAGTGCAGCAGCCGTTGCAATATTAACGGCTTCCTCGCCGGTTGAGGTCATGTAAAACGAGAGCCTTCCTTGTCTTTGTGCTTCGTAAAAGAAACTGTCCATTATTTGAAGGGTCACCATGCTTCTGTACATCCTCACCGCAGTTGATTTGTCCACCTAATTACGTATGAACGAAGGGGTTCTAAAGGAAAAATCACCCTAAAGTGCATTGCGTTAACAAAATGTAAAGATTCAAGCTTTTCTACATCCTCATTGCAGTTGATTTGTCCACCTAATTGTTCATTTTTTTTTCATGCATATGCAAGGAATATGATCTCCGAAACCACTATCCGATTCCTTTTTTTTTTCTTTTGGGTAACGATTACGTTCGAACGAAGGGTATTCTAGGAAAATCACCTAAAAGTGCATTGCATATTAGAAAAAAAAAATATAAATATTCATGCTTGTTTACATCCTCATTGCAGTTGCTTTGATTTTAGCTCTGAACCCCACTACTCGGCTATCGATTACGAATCGAATGAAGGCCATTCTAGGAAGATCACCCTAAAGTGCATTGCATATCAGAAGAATATATATAAAGATTAATGGATTTTACATAATTAAGTACCCTTTCAAATGTGCTGCCAGGAATTATATAGCCATCATCATCAAGAACCCTATAACAGGGCACCTTCTTTTCAAGGGACTCAGAAATGAACTTCATTTGGGGGGTAAATGCGACTTTTCCACCAGGAAAATCCAGCCCCTGCTATTTTTTTAAAGGCAATCAAGTGACTAGTGAGTCAACTGGATCAATCAAGATACAACAAAAAAAAATAAAAAAATAAAATCAATCCCCGATCACCGATCAATTGTTGAATTTGTTAATCAATTTTAAAAATTTTATAAGATATAGTTCAATAACAAAAATACATAATTACATGTAAACTTTACACCTCAAATTCTTAATAATATTGTCTCAGTCCTAAGTATTTCCCAAATAAATATAGAATATATATGTGTACACATAATTTTTTTTTGGATCATGCTACATGTACCCCTTGGCGTACCACTTGGTTTACATCCAAGGGGTACATGTACTCATTTACCCTTAATGAATCATTTAATAGACTATTCATTAAGGGTAAATGAGTACATGTATCCCTTGGATGTAAACCAAGTGGTACACCAAAGGGTACAAGTAGCATTATTCTTTTTTTTTATATGTATAAAAAAGTAAAATAAAAAATAAATTGGCTGGGTCAAACATTTGACCTGATTTGACCAATTTGCTCTGTTAACTAGTTCAAATGACCTACCCTGAACTTGTGATAAAAATACACTGCTTAGCTGCTAGGGGTGTAAAGGAGTCGAGCTAACTCGGCTCAACTCGTTAACTAAACGAATCAGTAATCAAGGTTGAGCTCGACAAGTTTATCAATATTAACGAGTCACAATTTACATGTTTATCAATAACTCGAGCCTCAGAAGCCTTAACGAGCCGAGCCGAGCCAAAGCTCACGAGCGGGGTCACTTTGTTTGACAGCATAGTACGTGTCTACGATGCAGAAATGTGTACAAATAACTCATAAATACGTGTTTCATATTTAGCAAAAAACATTAATGTATACTATATATATGTGTAAAACATGGAAAATAATTTAATGGGGTCAGGGAAAGAGTTGGAGTGCACAAAAACACAACATAACTCTGTTCACGTTTGTAACATCACAAATAAAAAATATATCAGTTTTAAGAATTACATCCCATAATTGTAAACTTACAAAATTTGGGCTACATTCTTTTCTAATTTGAGTGAAATGTTTGGTTTGTAGTTAGATAGATCTGTTTAACGAAACGAGCCGCTCAACTCAACTCAACTTGTTAAGGCTCGAAAACATGAAATTTTTGTGTGATTTTCTGTAATTTGACTCGTTAATATGATAAACGAGTCAAACTCGCGCTCACATAGTTAACTAGCCAAGCTCGACTCGACTGAATATAGGTTGGGCTCAAGCTCTAGCACGAGCTCATGTCCTTTACACCTTTATATTTACAAAACCCAACATTTATTTTTACAAATTAAAACTAGCCTTGCAATGGTTAATAAGATTGGTTTATACTTAGAAAAACCAACTATATATTTTTACAATAAAGATTATGATTTTTTTAATTAAAATAAAATGTGTGACTAGAAATGTTCTATTTCTGCACCTCTCCACAAGGTATGGAACTGTCACTAGTGTTATATTCAAAATGGGCCACTTGAAAAGAACCACTCAATAATGGGCCTATTTGAGTTCCTGTATCTTTTCGGTCCAGCCCAATAATGAGTTGTCTGTATTTGTAGATCTCAGAACTGTCAGTTTCGATTTACCAAGTTAATGTAAACCTTTAGTTTATAGGGAAATTCTATGGGTCCCTGAACCATTCCATCGGATATGTAACTGTCAGGATAGACGGTTACATGATGATCTAACGGTTAAAAATCCCGACGGGACTCATTCCATCGGGATATGTAGAGACGGTTACATGATGATCTAACGGTTACAAATCCCGACTAAATGATTCCCTAACAGAACTGTAGCATTTTTCTAGTTTATAAGTACATCTATTGTTTATTTTAAAAATGATGTGAAAACTCATTGTAATAATTGGTAAATTTACATGAGAAAATGTCAATGATTATTTAAATTGCATAAATATTTATTTCAAATTATCTTGATTTGATAAGGAGGCCAACTTACAAAAAGAAAGGCACTAATATACTTCCATTAGGGTCATGTAGCTGGACTAGAGACATGTAGTATTAGATCATATATAGTCGAGAAGTTTTATTTTTAAAATATATCTGTTAATTGTACTTCTTAAACAAATCTATACTTTTTCATGCTACAAAAACAAATAACAATATATTAACAATTAACATGTACACTGATGGAAATTTACCCCCAAATTAAACGGTAAAGAATAAAAATAAATTTACCTGGTTTTCATCATCCTCATCATCATCACCATCACCATAATCAGTGTATGCTACAGCTTCGACTTGCTCGCCGGCTCTAGCCGACTCCGGCCGCCGAAAAACCCGGAAGGCCGATGACCCGACCCACGACCCACGTGGGTTTCTGCTAAAACCACCAGCCAATGTCTTGTAAGAAGCAGAGTATGCATGAAACCAGAAATAATTTCCCCTGCACCCCTGATGATTATTAAGAGCAATCTCATGAAAGCAAAAAGTCTTTGTTTTGAGAAAATTTATGATGGTATTTCTTGATTTTGCAAGCCATAGAGCCATTTTTCTTTTTCCTTTTCCTTTTTCTTTTTTTTTCCTCTCAAAAAGAGTAGCAAAATCAAGTTTGAGCTTTCTTTGTGTAATCCTAAAGGAGATGAGAAAATGGAATTGAATTAAATGAGAAGTTTAAAACACTTAAACAAGTAGAGATAATAGTGCCAAACTCTAGGGCCCATCTTCACTTGAGTAAAGTTAGGCTATATCCCCATCAATGACATTGATGCATTCAAGTGTTTTCATTCTCTAGAGAACACACACAAGAGGGCTTGTAGGAGTTTAAATATCTCAAAGTTATTGATCACAATGTTAGAAATGGAAAACAAATGATATTCCATCATGCATATCCCTTCAATAGAGAAAATGGTGAGGGCAAAAATGACAAACGATATATAAATCTACACATTTATATACGCGGGTATGTGTTGATCTAACGGTAAAAAACTCCTTGAAAACAGTACCCTGACCCTGACCGTAGGATCGAATCTATATATACCTTCCTCATCTAATTGAATTGGTACACTCAACTCACTTAGTGTGTTAGTGTTACATTTTCAAGCACCTTTTGCAACATCAAAATTTTAAAATTTTTAAGGGCTCTAGTTTTCTTCAATGTAGATTATATCCATAACTAAATTCAAATAATACAAGGAGGAAATTGCATGTTTAGCCCCAAGATTCAATCTTTTGTACACTTTTGGTATTGTGTTTTGTATAATGTTTTTAATTTAGAGTACATAGGCTATGAACAATACAACAATATTATAAGCATTGTAAACAATAGTATAAAACACCTCAAAATACTTATATATAAATTTGACATGCGAAAATATTTCAAATATTATCTCCACACATATATTTTGGAACGATTTTCATATCTTTCTATTATATATATTGTGATAAAGATTGAGATGTAATGCCATAATGGGATGATATGGATAGAGTTGGAACCATTTGGACTTTAGATCCAAAAAGAAACACTTGTACGTGTCATTCTAATCTTGTACCAAAAAAGAATTGGATTTATTATTATTATTATTATTATTATTATTATTATTATTATTATTATTATTATTATTTTTTATTTATTTTTTTTTCTTT